AGTGGTGAGGTGTGCTGTCGGAGTGTCAGAAGACTTTAAGGTGGAGGTGGGACTCCATCAAGGATTGACCCTGAGCCCCTTCTTGTTTGCTGTAGTGATGGGCGGATGCGGAGGAGGGTCAGTGGATACATTAGTAGAAGAATGCTAGAGATGGGGCTACCAGGTCGGAGACAAGGAGGAAGGCCAAAGAGGAAACTTATGGATGGAGTGAAAGAGGACATGCAGATAGTTGGAATCAGAGTAAAAGATGCAGAAAACGTTGATTTGCGTTGAAAACGTTGAAAACAAAAAAGGGACAAAAGCGAAAGGAAAAGAATAAGAACAACTTTCAAGTTGACAAAGTCAACAAACAACAATATATAAAATGAAAAAGACAAAGAAAAAAAAGAAAGTAAAACATTCCACAAGCTGAATTGATCAGCAGAGATGTGGGAAGTATGTGATTTCTACTTAGAATTTCAAAAACATACAAACACTTTGGTCTGGTACTATAAAAAAAACTAAAGGCTACAAGACAGCATGGGATTTTCCTGCAGCATGGTAACTCCCTACAGCATTACACTTCACCACTTCCACCCATCAGGGACCAATGACCAATGCAACTTCCTGCTAGCCCATAAACAAACAATGCAGTTAACTGAAGTCAGGCTGAAAATCCTCCAGTGCCAAGTTTGGCTGCACTGCAAATGGAATTTCCAGTTTTTAACCGAGACTCTTTGTCGTCACATATTCTGTGGCTTACACCTTGCAGAAGAAGGTGGACATGTCAAGGAAATTAAGCCCAATGAGAAATGTGATATTGTTGAAAACCTGTGGGTATCAGTGGATGGAATAGAAAAATCTTTGGTTTGAGGGACGGTAAGGTATATGGTGTGTGTTCATCTTCTTCTGCTGGTAGAAAATGGTGAAAACGCTGGTGATGGTGAAAAAGCTGGTGATAAAAGTGCAATGTGTGGTTTTATCTGAGCCCGCTATCAAGTGGTGTAGACTCCCCTCCTGTCCCTAAAAAATTCCAACAACGAAAACAGGAAACTACTCATTAATGGGACTTAATTAACCTAAGACAAAGTGTAGACAGCAAGCCATGAGGAATGTCAGGCACAGCATTCCTATGACGTTACTCCACTGCACTAAACGCACATCCTCAAGCTATTAATTAAACAATATGCACATTCATGAAAAAACAAGCTCAGACAAAACCTGTATTACCCACACAGACCCAGGGCTTTATGTCAACACCGGTGTCATTTCTCAACAAAATGCAGGTAAACAACCTCTGGCTCACTCTTTGTTCATCACTCATGTCTCCTTTTGGTCACACAGCAAACGTGGCAATGTACAATTACGATCCTATGCTCTAGGACAACTGGCCTCAGCTTCAAAGAGTGCAAGGAAATGCTTTGCCCTTCCTGTCACTCCCAGTCAGAACCAAATGGGGATGACCAAATGATTGGGATAAGATTGAGAGATTGTAATGCCAAGTTAAATGTAAAAAAGGAGTATGAGGTAAGACAGACAAAAATGAAGACACGACCCTTTCTCTCCAATTGGTCTCCAACCAATTTATTAGCATCTATAGCTAGTTTACAACATTTCCATGTCCTTAAATCACTCAGTACAAAGCCATGGATTTTTATTTTTAAGGCCTGGAGAGAACAGAAGCAGTATTCAGGGATTCCACAACATGTCAAGGGTTTTAGCTCTTTCGTATTGTTGATGGCATGTCATCACCTATCCTCTTATATCGATGTTTAACCATACTGTATTTTTCTTTCTCTCGCTTATCTCATTCTTGATGTCTGAAAAGTTAGTAATAGTTAAAGGAAAGGTTTACACAACAGCCCTTTTACATTTAACTTTGTAAGCATGGTTGACAACAGAACTGAGAGAATGACATGGGACGTGGGGGGGGGGGGGTGTCTGGCATGTTATATATGGCTGTTACATGATTTATGCATCCAATAATAATCACTTTTAATCTCAGAACCAAAGCATTAATTAAGTATTAATTTCATCATTATGCACAATGATTTTTTTTAAACCTATAAAAAAAGATGTATTTCTGTAATGCACTTTTATGTAACTATTAGTTAACAACTATTAGTTTACCAACTTAACTTACATTCAAACGTTTTGTGGAATATAATCTAACTGAAAATACGACACCTGCAGAACATTCCAGAAAAACTGGGGCAAATGCAAGTTGACCTCTTGGTCATAATACTTGCAAATGCATTTTTAAATTGTGTAAGCTGCTGATACTAACACCACTGCTGTTCTCTGTAATTCTCTGAGTGTAATCTGCATACATTTTAGCACTAAAAAATGTTTTTGTTGGCAGAGTATTTTTTTTTTAAAGAATTTTAACAAAGAGAGAGATGTGGACTGCAGGCATCCCAGTCAAGCACATACACCTTTTGATCACATTCAATTCCACTCCCTGACTTCAATAACATGCATCACAAATTATTTATTTTATCGTTTGTCTTGCAATTAAACATAATGTTTAATGTTGACAGGAAATTGAATTTTCATTATTCATCCAATTCCTTTTGCAAAATTCATAAATATTTTCCCCCAACCTATCCTTGATTACAAGGACTCAGCCTATTGTAAAAGCATTTTCTGCCTTACTGTGCCCCTGTGCACTTTTGTTTGCAAGAGCTAGAGGCTGAATTTCAATTATTTTATTTTTTTTCAACAAATACGATTAGGTTTGTATTGTTGAAAAAAATACGAACACAGAAACAGTTTTTATTCTCATAAGATAAAAAGGTTAAAGTAAATAACTTTATTGCAGGTTTTTCCAATATATCTGGACATGAAGTGGTGATATATATAAGCGGATGAAAATCAGGAGGTGAGGGTTCCACACCAATGACAGAGACATTGCCTCTGGGCCGAAGCGCCACTAAGCAATTTCAGAAAATAAAAAATAAATTAAACAATATCTGGACAGCATGGAGATCTTGTGTTTGACAATAATATGTACACATTTTTTGCATCAATTGTCGAGCATCACCTTAAGGCATAAATGTAAGTGCTGTCAAAAATGTAGTTTTTTGGATTAAAAGTATAATAATTAAAAACTCTTTTTTATCACATATTGCTGATTGTGCAGCCTGGATAATGTTAAAACTAATAAAAAAGAAAAAATATGTAAAGAAATAAATTGAAAAAGATAAGATAAGGATTGTGTTATTTAAAAAATATAAAACTATATATATAAATATATTATATATATTAACACAGTGGTTCCCAAACTGTGGAGCCCTCTCTAGTGGTACTTGGGGAAAATTCATATTTTCACATTTATACTTTCAATTGAACAAATCTGAAGCACACCATGCACAATTAAAACAACATTTAGAAAAAATGTGTAGCTAGTTTGAGATGAAATAGGATGTCTGGTCTTTTTATTTATTTACCGTACCCGTTGTTTTGTTTTTTTTTGCTGCAATGCAAGTATGTTGCTCACGTAAGCACAGGCAGCACGGAATCATGGGATCACTTGCAAGTTGAACGTGGAACGAGCAAGGAAATTCTAATGTTGGTCATCATGGTGGTACTCTGAGAGCTCAATGTTTTCTCAGGTGGTACAGAGTATAAAACGTTTGAGAATCACGGTATTAACACAC